CGGACTTCAGCAACCCACTGTATGAAGCCGGGGTGAGCACCTCCCCTGCCCCTGGAGAGCCACCACTAGGCTCTCCCAGGACTCCAAACCTCGAAAGGTCTCTGGAATCTCTGTCTTGGGAATTTCAAAACTCGGGTGTCCACAGGGGCCGTCAGTGAGCACAGTGAGCCACATGTGGACAACAGGGAGCAATAGGACCGTGGCTAAGTGGAGGGCTTGTGCCTCATCTCAAGGATACGGCTCTACCCCATAGTGGAAACTGAGGCTTAATTGGCAGATCTTCCAGTTGTTCAAAACAAGCCAGAAATTCAGATTCTTGTGTCATTTTACAATGCTGTAGGGTGAACCAAACACACTCACTGGCCAGATTCAGCCCCTGTGGCCTCCACAGCCCCCAGTGGTCAACGTTACTTTAAAACTCAGGGTCGGGCCGGGCGCGGTGGCTCATGCCTGTAATCCCAGCACTTTGGGAGGCCGAAGCGGGGGGATCACGAGGTTAGGAGTTCTATACCAGCCTGACCAACATGGTGAAACCCCAACTCTAAAAATAAAAATAAAAAAACTCAGGGTTGTTCTCCCATTTGGCTGCCTCTTCTACCCCCATCAGACTCCAACAACTGACCTAATCTCTCTGTCTTCAGGATACTCGGGAATATGAAGTTTCCATCTGAACCCCAAGACTACAGCTGCAGGACCCAGGACGCCCCTCCCCTCCTCATTCTGGGCAGGGAGAAGTATGGGACCGGTCTCTGCCTCCTGGCTGCCCTCCTCCCTGGCTGTGTAAATAGTCTCCCCGTCCCACGAGGGGGCTTTGATGGCCCTGGAGATCCTACAGTAAATAAACCAGCATCCTGCCGCCCAAAGCCGCCTCTTCTCAGTTGCCAAATGAGGGGCCTGCCCCCCACCCTACTGGCTTTTGGATCCTGGGAGGGGAACTCTGCTCCCCTGCAAATCTTGCGGCCCCTCTTGCCCAGGGCACCCCTCAGTGACTGTCCCCGATAGCTCTACTGTTCCCTTGGCCACGAAGGCCCCCCAACTCCCCTATGCCCTGGCCCTGGGCCTGACTCCGGCCAGGAGGGTCAGAAGAAGGATGAAGGGGAGAGCTGGGACAAGGCCCTGCCCCCTTCCTGCCATCTCTCCGCCCCACAGTCTCTCCACCTTTGCTTCTGAATTCTTGTTTTTGAGCAATAAACAGAAAATCGCCACTTGTAATTGGGCCGGTGGGGTGTGGGAAGGTGGGCCCCGAGCTCTCAGTGACCACCTCTCTGGAGAGAGGGCTGGGGAAAGGGGACCAATTTAAAAAAAAGAGGGAAATGCAAAAGTGGGCAGAGGGCAGTGTCCGGGGGTGGGGGCCTGGCCTGGGGTCAAAAAGCCTGGCTGTAGGCTCAGCCTCTGTGAAGCCCTCCCTGCCACCAGCCCCACTCCGGGCTGCAGTGGCCTCTCCACCAGGCCTTGACCTTGTCAGCCTCTTCCAGCTGGGAGAGAACTGACAGGAGCCACTCCTCTTCTCTTACTGCTGGGCAGGAGGCAAACAGCTTTCAATTTCTTTCTTTTTAGAAACAGGGCCTAGCTCTGCCAGCCAGGCTGCAGTGCAGTGGTGGGGTCACAGCTCACTGCACCCTCAAACTTATCCTCTCGCCTGAGTTTCCTGAGTGGCTGGGACTACAGGTGCAAGCCACTGTGCCTGCCTAATTTTTAAATTTTTTTTAGAAATAGAGATCTTGCTATGTTGCCCAGGCTGCTCTCAAACCCCTAGCCTCAAGCAATCCTTCCTTGACTTACCAAAGTTCTGGGATTACAGGCATTAGCCACCAAGCCTGGCTTTTCAATTTGTTTTATGACCAGTTTGCTTAAAATTCAACCCCCTTTGGAGAATTTTTGTATCCATTCAAGTACACCATTTCTTCCCCGCCACCCCAACCTGTTTAGCATTTTAGGCGTATCTGTGACCCATATACCAATTTGAGCTTTATATCCTTGGGGGTATCCTTTTCCACTTTTTTTTTTTTTTTTTTTTGAGACGGAGTTTCACTCTTGTTGCCCAGGCTGGAGTGCAATGGTGAGATCTTGGCTCACTGCAACCTCCGCCTCCTGGGTTCAAGCGATTCTCCTGCCTCAGCCTCCCGAGTAGCTGGGATTACAGGCATGCGCCACCACGCCCAGATAATTTTGTATTTTTAGTAGAGATGAGGTTTCTCCATGTTGGTCAGGCTGGTCTTGAACTCCCAACCTCAGGTGATCCGCCCACCTTGGCCTTCCAAAATGCTGGGATTATAGGAGTAAGCCACTGCACCCGACCCACTATATCTATTTTTGAACCTTATCAGGAATTTATAGCCTGTTTGTCTAAAGAGTTTTTCTCCAAATTAACTAAATTTTATGTAATTAAAAAAAATTTTTTTGTTGAGACAAGAGTCTTGCTCTGTCGCCCAGGTAGGAGTGCAGTGGCTTCGTCTCCACTCACTGCAACCTCCGCTTCCTGGGTTCAAGTGATTCTCCTGCCTCAGCCTCCCAAGTAGCTAGGATTACAGGCGTGCACCACCACACCTGGCTAATTTTTGTATTTTTAGTAGAGACAGGGTTTCCCCATATTGGCCTGTCTGGTCTCAAACTTGTGACCTCACGTGATCCACCTGTCTTGGCCCCTCAAAGTGCTGGGATTAAAGGTGTGAGCCACCACACCCAGCCTATGTAATTTTTAAAAAATTATTTTTTGAGTTGGAGTTTTGCTCTTGTCACCCAGGCTGGAGTGCAATGGCATGATCTTGGCTCACTGCAACCTCCATCTCCTGGGTTCAAGTGATTCTCCTGCTTTGGCCTCCCAAGTAGCTGGGATTGCAGGCACCCACCACCAGGCCCAGCTAATTTTTATGTTTTTAGTAGAGATTGGATTTTGCCATGTTGGCCAGGCTGGTCTCGAACTCCTGATCTCAGGTGATCCGACCACCTTAGCCTCCTAAAGTGCTGGGATTACAGGTGTGAGCCATGGCGCCTGGCCTAATTAAAATTTTATATTTAAATGCAATTAAACATTTTTAGGACACTTGAAAGGATGGTGAAATATCCAGAAAGGGGTGGACTTTTAGGAGAACATGGGGCAAACTGCTCTCAATAATAGCAAGCACTTTGTATGCATTATGTTGGTTTTTTTTCTTTTTTTTCCAAGATGGAGTTCTGCTCTTTCGCCCAGGCAGAAGTGCAATGGCGCAATCTCGGTTCACTGCAACCTCCACCTCTCAGGTTCAAGCAATTTTCCTGCCTCAGCCTCTCTAGTAGCTGGGATTACAGGCGCCCACCACAATGCCCGGCTAATTTTTGTATTTTTAGTAGAGACGGGGCTTCACTATGTTGGCCAGGCTGGTCTCGAACTCCTGACCTCAAGTGATCTGCCCACCTCGATCTCCCAAAGTGCTGGGATTTCAGGCGTGAACCACCACGCCTGGCCTACCTACGTTGTTTTTTTCTTTAGAGACCATGTCTCCGTTGTGCAGACTGGAGTACAGTGGCACCATCATAGTTCACTGCAGCCTCAACCTCCTAGGCTCAAGTGATCCTCCAGTCTTAGCCTCCTGAGCAGCTGGGATTACAGGTGTGCTCCACCACACCTAGCTAACTTGTTTACTTTTTTAGAGATGGGGCTTACTCTGTTACCCAAGCTGGTCTTGAACGTCTGGCCTCAAGTGATTCTCCTGCCTCGCTGTCCAGTGTGTCCCTGGGATGACAGGCATGAGCCACCATGTCCGACTGCATTTTGTCTTTAACTCTTCAAAGGACCCTATGGGACAGGGATCATTTATTAATCCCATTTTTCAGATAAGGAAACTAAGGCCCAGAGATGGGAATTGACTTCCTCAGGAGGCTCCAATAAATGGCCAAACTTAGTGCAGTTTGCATTTAGCAATGCAAATACTAAATGCTAAAATGAATTAAGTATCTGCATTGCCAAATGCAAACTGCACGAAGCCTACTGGCTAGTAATGGGTGTGGTATGTTCTCACAGGCATGAAGCCTGAAGCTCAGATAGGAGAGACCGTAGCTCAGTGTCCCCAGCCCCATTGGTGGTGGCAGAGGTGGCTCCTCAGAAGCAAGAGGAGTCCTGCCAGATGCCACAGGCCTAGACCTTGAGGTGCTGGAGTGTGGCCAGGACGCTGGATTTGGACCCATAAGCTCATCTGTGTCAACAGGCCGGGCATGGTGGTTCACACCAGTAATCCCAGCACTTTGGAAAGCCGAGGCAGGAGGATCATTTGAGGCCAGGAGTTCAAGACCAGTCTGGGCAACACAATGAGACCCTGTCTCCACAAATTTTTTTTTTTTTTTTTTTTTTTTTTTTGAGACAGTCTCACTCTGTCGCCAGGCACCAGGCTGGACCAGTGCAGTGGTGCAATCTCGGCTCACTGTAACCTCTGCCTCCCAGGTTCAAGCAATTCTCCTGCCTCAGCCTCCTGAGTAGCTGGGACTACAGGCGAGCACCACCACACCCAGCTAATTTTTGTATTTTAGTGGAGACAGGGTTTCACTATATTGGCCAGGATGGTCTCGATCTTTTTGACCTCATCATCCGCCCACCTCGGCCCCCAATTTTTTTTTTTTTTTGAGATAGAGTCTCACTTTGTTGCCCCAGGCTGGAATGCAGTGGTGCAATCTCAGCTCACTGCAGCCTCCGCCTCCCAAATTCAAGTGATTCTCTTGCCTCAGCCTCCTGAGTGGCTGGGATTTTAGGTGCGTACCACCACACTAGGCTCATTTTTTGTATTTTTAGTAAAGACGGGGTTTCACCATATTGGCCAAGATGGTCTCAAATTCCTGACCTTGTAATCCACCTGTCTCGGCCTCCCAAAGTGCTGGGATTACAGGTGTGAGCTACCGCACCCGGCCACCAATTAAAAAAAAAAACAAAACACCCCAATCATATGCCCGCATCCAGCATCCACATCTGGGAAAAAAAAAGGACCCTCTCCTGCACCTCTACCCCAGAGAAACCACACCGGAGCACTGCATGAGCTGGGGGAAGGGAGGATCCCTGTCTCTTTATTAAAGCCTTTCATTCCTGGTGGTGTCCTTGCTGGCTGAGGCTGGAGGGTCCGGTGATGAATCCAGAGAAATTTGACGGCTTCAGGATGATACTGCTTATGACCACGAGGTCCCCGCAAACGGAAGTGGTTAACGAGTGGCAAAAGAGGAGTTTTGAGGCATGTTCTAGGGATAAAAGGGGGAAGCATGAGAGGCCAGGAGCATCAAAGAGGGGCGGACTCATCTTCCAAACAGGCAGTTAGGAAGAGCTCCATCAAAGAGAAAAGAGCCTTTTCACTCTTTAGACCCGAGGCTCATGTCTTTTTTATTTTTCTCGAGACAGGGTCTCCCTCTGTCAGCCAGGCTGGAGTACAGCACAATCATATCTTCCTGCAGCCTCAACCTCCTGGGCTCCAGTGATCCTCCCACCTCAGCCTCCGGAGTAGCTGGGACCACAGCTGTGAACCACCATGCCTGGCTAATTTTTTTTTTTTAATATATATATTTTTATTGCACTTTAGGTTCTGGGGTACATGTGCAAAACATGCAGGATAGTTGAATAGGTAAATACATGGCAATGTGATTTGCTGCCTCCATCCCCCTGCCACCTGTATCTGGCATTTCTCCCCATGTTATCCCTCCCCAACCTCCCTACCTCCCGCTGTCCCTCTCCTATTCCCCCTCAACAGACCCCAGTGTGTGATGCTCCCCTCCCTGTGTCCATGTGTTCTCATTTCTCCACACCCGCCTATGAGTGAGAACATGTGGTGTTTGATTTTCTGTTCTTGTGTCAGTTTGCTAAGAATGATGGTTTCCAGATTCATCCATGTCCCTACAAAGGACACGAACTCATCATTTTTCATGGCTGCATAGTATTCTATGGTGTATATGTGCCACATTTTCCTTGTGCCCAATGATGGGCATTTGGGTTGGTTCCAGGTGTTTGCTATTGTAAACAGTGCCGCAATGAACATACATGTCTTTATAATAGAATGATTTATAATCCTATGGATGTATACCCAGTAATGGGATTGCTGGATGCCCAGCTAATTTTTTAAACCTCGATAGCAGGAACTCTGTTTTGCTCACTGCAACACCCCAGCCCTCAAGCAGTGCTGGCACATAGTAAGTGCTTAATTTTTATTTTATTTTTTTGAGACAGAGTCTCACTCTGTGGCCCAAGCTGTAACGCAGTGGCACGATCTCGGCTCACTGCAACCTTCGCCTCCTGGGTACAAGCTATTCTCTGCCTCAGCTTCCTGAGTAGCTAGGATTACAGGCGCGTGCCACCACAACTGCCTAATTTTTTGTTTTGTTTTTGCTTTGATCGGTTTTGAGATGGAGTCTTGCTCTGTGGCCCAGGCTGGAGTGCAGTGGTGTGATCTTGGCTCACTGCAACCTCTGCCTCCCAGGTTCAAGCGATTCTCCTGCCTCAGCCTCCCGAGTAGCTGGAATTACAGGCCTGCACCACCACACCAGCTAACTTTTGTACTTTTAGTCAAGACGGGGTTTTACCCAGCTGACTAGGCTGCTCTTGAACTCCTGACCTCATGATCCGCCCACCTCGGCCTCTCAAAGTACTGGAACACAAAGTGCTGGGACTGCAGGCATGACCTACTGCACCCAGCAGAAAATGATTTCTTTAGGTGCTACCTCCTTCAAGAAGCTCCATTGGGTCCTCTCCCTCCTATCCAAATCGAGGCTGGGATAAGAGTACAATCTCACTGCTTCCATTTCTATTATGGAAACGTATCCATACTGTATTGTAATTGGCCATTTCCTTGTCTGTCCCCACACTGAAGTGTGACCTCTTCAAGGGCTGAGACTGTATCATTCATTTTTGTGTCTCAAGTGCCTAAGACAGGGCCCAACATATAGTGCAAACTCAAAAGGTTTGGTTAACATCAAATAGCCTTGGCATCCACGGACCCTGCATGTACCTTTTCGTGAGGGGCTGGCAGGAGGTGTGACTTGGTGCGGGTACGGTTTCTGTCGGAGCTGGAGATAGTGGAAGAGAAAGGAGAGGGCTGAGAATTCTGAATTTGAGGATCAGGGCAGGAGAGAATGGAAGTACACAGTTCAAAAATCCCCCTGCCCTGCTGGGATGTTGTGAAACCCCGCTCTCTCCCCTCCAGGCTCCTCATTTCTCTCCCTGGACAAAGAGCATCTCCCTAGAAGCCTCACTCACCGGGTGTCTGTGCCTCGGGTCTTGGTGAAGAATGCTGGAAATAGAGGCCCCAGTCAGAGAAAGGACTATCCCCATGGCCAGGAAGTGAACGTGGCCAGGGCAGATGGGGCTAAGGGGGTTCTCGGCCAGTAGTGAGGAGTGGGCACTGGGTTAGCGGGTGAGGGGGCGCTTTGCAGGTCCTAGAGCTGGCTGTGAGAGGGGCGAGATGGGCACAGATTTCTGGAGGGCTCAGCTAGGGGTGGGAGGGCTCAGGGGCTGGAACCAGGCATGGGAGGAGGGGGCGGCGCTTCTCTAGACAGTGATCCTGAGGCAGGGGGTTACCCTGTGTGGATATCTGAGTCGCTTGGTCTTGTGTCTGCTTTTTTTTGATGGGCACAGGGTTCAAATGGCAGCAAGCCATAAATAAAGCCTCCTCCGTGAGTTCTGCACTGATCCGGGACAGGTATTCCTCAGAACGAGATAACGAAGCCTGGGAAAGGAAAAGGCGGAGGGGTTCAGCCCGGGAGCTCCCATATGGGAGTGTTGGGTGTGGGAGCTCCCATATGGGAGTGCTGGGTGTGGGAGCTCCCTGGCTGGGACCTCTGGGTCCAAGGAGCTTGGTCTTGGAGTACTGGGCCTTGAGATTTAGCTAGAAGGCTCTGGATCTGGGGGAGGTGGATTGGGGGGTGTTGCAGAATCAGGGCCTAGTGCTGAGGGCTATGGGTCTGGGCTTCAGGACTCAGCGTTGAGGTTAGAATCTCAAGGCTAACGGCTCAGACCTGGGACGGGCACCTCTGCCTGGGAGGCCTTCACTTCCTTACACTCCCACCTCTACGGTCCCCTGCAGCGCTCACCGAACCTCCTCTCGAGGAGGGTGCAGCTTGAGACGGCCAGCTGTCCTTCTTCTCCCCCTCATTCCCCATCGGAGTGGACGCCATCCCCCTGGAAACAGTGGAGGCCTGAGAAACCGGCCCGCTTTCCCCAGAACTCATTCCATCTCTCAAGAAAAAAAAAATGTTGCCTTATATCTTCAGGAGAGAGGGGACCTCCCACACCCCTCCACCCCTTCGCCCGGTGGGGCCTCGCCTTCCTTCTTCCCTCCCAAGCCCTTTCCCAAGCCAAGGCAGCCAACTTGCCGCCCCAGACCTGGCAGATGGGTGGCAACCTTGGGCTACTCGGCAGAAGGGGAGACGGGAGGCCTAAGGACCTCTGGTATAGGTCGCGGAGGACAGGGAATGGGAGATGGGGAGGAAGGCTGGAAAAGGGGGAGCCGGCTCCGTGTTGCTACCGGCCGCTATAAACCCTCGGGATCTGCGGAGGTTCCGCAGCCTCGTTGCTAGGAGATCAGGGGTTCTAGAACTAAAGACAGAGACATTTCCTAGCGCGCCCCGTTTGGTCCTCCAGCCTCCCCTCCATACCCCTCCAGGTGCCTCCTTGGGGGCAGTGACCCCAAACACCAGAGGATTGAGAAGCTTGAGAGGATGACGCAGGTGGGGAGCCTGCGATCTAATCCTCCCACCACAAGGGGCAAGCGAGAAGCAACCCGGCGGCAGGGCGATCTGGAGCCTCTCTAGCCACCTGGAGCCTGAGAGAGCAAAGGCGGCTGGAGACTTAGGGGGCGGGGAGAACAGTGCGGGCTGCACCAAAACTCCTGACTTCTCGGGCGTGCAGAGACTCAGGAGGGGGGAATTTTATCGCCTTATCATTGTCTCAGGAAGTTACATCCTCCTCAAAAGAAAAATCAGAGATTTTTACCGGCCTCCTTCTCTTTTGTGCTTTCCTTTTCCTTCCCTACCTTTGCTCGACGTCGATAATTCCTTCCTCCGTCTCCCCTTCTGCGTTTTGGTACGAGCCAAGGGAAAGGGGCGGAGGGAAGAAAGGGAAGAGGAAGCAGACAGGTCTTAAAGGGGCCACAACTATTTCTTAAAGCCTTTTTTTTCCTCTCTCCAATTTTGCCACGACTGGCCCGGAGGGCGAGGTTCCCGGAAGCCCCGCGCATCTGGAGCAGCGGTGACCGCAGCTGGAGGCGGGAGCGTCTGCGGGGCGGGCGGAGACTAGGGGGCTGCAGGTCAGAAGGGCGGGCTGCGCGCGCCCGCTGCGCCCGGCTAGCCTTGGGGCCGACCCGTGCTCCCGACTGCTGCGGGCTTCAGCATCTGGGGCCGGGTGAGGGCGGCGGGGTCCAGGGCGCAAGTGGCTCGGTTTATGCTCCGGGCCGGGGGCTGAGGCCGCGCGGCGAGGCCAGGACAGCGCTGGCATCTCCAGAGCGGTCCCGGGGCGGCAAGGGGGGCGCCGCGATGTCAGAGGAAAATATCTTCTTGTTCGTGCCCAACCTCATCGGTGAGTGCTGCCCGGTGCCCCGGATCGGAAGGGAGGGCCAGGGGCCTTGGCGGGCTCCCTGATCCCGCCCTGTCTCCCCGCGTCCTGTTCCAAGGTTATGCCCGGATTATCTTCGCCATCATTTCTTTCTACTTCATGCCCTGCTGCCCCCTCACGGCCTCTTCCTTCTACCTGCTCAGCGGCCTGCTGGACGCTTTCGATGGACACGCTGCTCGCGCTCTTAATCAAGGTGACAGACACCCCTCCCAGCCAGCCTTGGGGCCCAACAACCCCCTGCCCCGTTCCCCTGCCTCCTTGGGACCTCAGGGTCAGAGGGCTGTCATTCTCATCTCTGAAAAAAGCAGAACAGGATGGTCTGAGGTTTTTGTTTTGTTTTTTGTTTTTGAGACAGGGTCTCGCTCTGTCATTTAGGCTGGAGTGCAATGGCGCGATCATGGCCCTCTGCAGCCCCCATCTCCTCTACTCAAGTAATCCTCCCACCTCAGCTTCCTGAATAGCTGAGACAACAGGCACTTGCCACCACACCTGGCTAATTTTTAAACTTGTGTAGAGACTGGGTCTTGCAGTGTCGCCCAGACTGGTCTCCAGCTCCTGGCCTCAAGCGATCCTCCTGCCTTGCTCCCAAAGTGCTGCGCCCAGCAAGAATGGACTGATTTTGTAGCAAAAAGGATTTAAGCTAGCTCTTGAGAACTCACTGCTTGTGAGAGGTGTGGATCAGCAAGACATGACATGGCCGTGGTGCTGCTGAAGATATCTCTGAATACAAGTCCATTTAATCAGTCACAGTGGCTCACGCCTGTAATCCCAGCACTTTGGGAGGCGGAGGCAGGTGGATCACGAGGTCAGGAGTTCGAGACCAGCCTGGCCAACATGGTGAAACCCCGTCTCTACTAAAAATACAAAAATTTGCCAGGCATGGTGGCCTGTAATTCCAGCTACTCAGGAGGCTGAGGCAGGAGAATCTCTTGAACCCAAGAGGCAGAGGTTGCAGTGAGCTGAGATCGCGCCACTGCACTCTAGCCAGGGCAACAGAGGGAGACTCCATCTCAGGGGTGGGGGGGGGGGGCGGGAGTCCATTCAACAGGTGTTTACTGGAGGCCTACTGTGTGCCCTGCATAAGCAGTTGGGTTCCAGAAGGCATGTGTAGAGGGAGGATGGAGAAGGAAGGGTGATGGCTTCTAGAGGGTTGATTTTTTCTTTTTTTTTTTTGAGATGGAGTTTCACTCATGTTACCCAGGCTGGAGTGCAGTGGCGCGATCTCGGCTCACCGCAACCTCCGCCTCCTGGGTTCAGGCAATTCTCCTGCCTCAGCCTCCTGAGTAGCTGGGATTACAGGCACGCACCACCATGCCCGGCTAATTTTTTTTTTTTGTATTTTTAGTAGAGACGGGGTTTCACCGTGTTGACCAGGATGGTCTCGATCTCTTGACCTCGTGATCCACCCGCCTCGGCCTCCCAAAGTGCTGGGATTACAGGCTTGAGCCACCGCGCCCGGCCTCTTTTTGTTTTTTGAGAGAGTCTCGTTCTATTGCCCAGGCTGGAGTGCTGTGGTGCAATCTTGGCTCACTGCAACCTCCACCTCCCGGGTTCAAGTGATTCTCCTGACTCAGCCTCCTGAGTATCTGGGATTACAGGCACACACCACCACACCCGGCAAATTTTTTGTATTTTTAGTAGAGACGGGGTTTCACCATGCTGGCCAGGCTTGAGCTCCTGACCGTGTGATCTGCCCACCTCAGCCTCCCAAAGTGCTGGGATTACAGGCATGGGCCACCACACCTGGCTAATTTTTTAATCTGTTCTCCAGACCCACTTCTAAGGCTTCTCCTGAGGCATCAAGTTTCTTGGTCTAGCCCTGGAGTCTTGGTTCTGGCGCTGATGAGTTGCAGACACAGCTTTCCTTTCTCCTACCCTGTTCCCTCCACTCTCAGGCCTTCTTAGTCCATGTCATGGTGACCTTTGCCCACTGACCTCACACAGAGCCTGTTTTCCAGCCTGCGTTCCTCCCCAGGCTGGTGGACACTTTGAGTCTTCACTTACACCCTGGATCAGAGTGATAAACCAAATATGGGCACTTGTCCTGCGTCCACTGTACCCTAACAGCCCCTGCCCATTTAATTAGCCCCTATCTTCCAGGAACCCGGTTTGGGGCCATGCTGGACATGCTGACGGACCGCTGCTCCACCATGTGCCTGTTGGTCAACCTGGCCCTGCTTTACCCTCGGGCCACGCTGTTCTTCCAGCTCAGCATGAGTTTGGATGTGGCCAGTCACTGGCTGCACCTTCACAGGTGTGTGGCGATTCTGGGGGCCTTGGCCAGTTGGAGACACGACAGTGGGGCGGGGGAGCCTAGATGGAAGGGTGTCTGGGATGGCATTAGGCGTCCTGGGAGGGCTCCTTTTTAGCTCCGCTTTGTAGAAGGGCCCCAGGCAAACCTGTCTTAGAATCAGCTTCAGCCATGTTTACAGTTGCATTAAGCAATTCTTAGGACTCTTCCAGCTGGATATTCTAGGATTCCAAATAGGTGACAGCTTGCAGAAAGGGGCATGGGGGCTTTTGAATGTGGCATTTAAAGCCTGATTCTGCCCTCAGATAGGTAACTGTGGCTTTGGGCAGGATACTGGTCCTTAGCCATGCCCAGTTTTCCACCCATACAATAGGGGCTAACGTGATGATCAGATGCAGGGTAGTGGTCATAAAGCTCGGGGGTTCTCCTGTTTTCTCCCCAAGTTCTGTGGTCCGAGGCAGTGAGAGTCACAAGATGATCGACCTGTCTGGGAATCCAGTGCTTCGGATCTACTACACCTCAAGGGTGAGCGTTTCCTACACGCCCCACCCCTCATACTCTTGGCTGTGGGAAGTCCTGGGCTGAACCCTGGCCCTAGGCTAGGAGAAGGCACAGAGCAGGGTCTGCCCAGTCCCTCCAGGAGGAGGGGCCTGTAAGCTTAAGCGTGGAGGAGGAGGATTGGTTGTGGGGGTGCCTGTGTGAATTACTCCAGGGAGCAAGTATGAGGCCTGCGGAAGAGGAGGGAGTGAGAGGCCGGAGGGAGATAAAGCCAGAGAGGTCTGCAGGACTGGACTGTGGACTTGATTCCAGGAACACAGGCAGCCTCTGAAAGGATTTTTAAAAAGCTAAGTAATGGCTGGGTGTGGTGGCTCACGCCTATAATCCCAGTGCTTTGGGAGGCTGAGGTGGGAGGATTGCTTGACAAGGTCAGGAGTTTGAGACCAGCCTAGGCCACAAAGTGAGACTGTTTCCACACACACACAAAAATCGAATTAGCTTAGCCAGGCACTGTGGTGCACGCCTATCGTCTCTACTTAAGGTGGAAGGATCAAGTGAAACCAAGAGGTTTTTTGTTTTTTTTTTGAGAGACTTGCTGTGTCACTCAGGCTGGAGTTCAGTGGCATGTTATTGGCTGACTGCATCCTTCATCTGCCGGGTTCAAGCAATTCTTGTGCCTCAGCCTTCGAGTGGCTGGGACTATAGGTGCACACCACCACGCTCAGCTAATTTTTTGTATTTTTAGTAGAGAGGGTTTTCGCCACGTGGCCAGGCTGGTCTCAAACTCCTGACCTCAGGTGATCTGCCTGTCCCAGCCTCCCAAAGTGCTGGGATTACAGGCGTGAGCCACTGCGCCCAGCTGAAACCGGGAGTTTTGAGGCTGCAGTGCTATGATCATACCACTGCATTGCAGCCTAGATGACAGAGCGAGACCCTGTCTCTAAAAAAGAAAAAAAAAAGAAGCAATATGCTGAGATCGTACTCTCCTTAGTGCTGGGGGACGAGGGTGGCACACGCCTGCCTCTTGGTAACTTAGCCTGTTTGCTGTGTGTGCAGCCTGTCCTGTTCACCTTGTGTGCTGGGAATGAGCTCTTCTACTGCCTCCTCTACCTGCTCCATTTCTCTGAGGGACCTTTAGGTAGGAGATGAGGGGCTGGGCAGAAGGATGGGAGGGGGCTCTGGCCTGCCCAGGGAGACGAAGGCCCCCTCCTTCGGTCCCCAAACTTCCCTGCTGCCTTCCTGCAGTTGGCTCCGTGGGGCTGTTCCGGATGGGCCTCTGGGTCACTGCCCCCATCGCCTTGCTGAAGTCACTCATCAGCGTCGTCCACCTGGTCACAGCTGCCCGCAACATGGCTGCCCTGGACGCAGCAGACCGTGCCAAGAAGAAGTGATGCTGGAGCCCCCAGTCCTGGCTGCCGACCTGCCCTGGGAGTCTCGCTGTGCCACACGGCTCCCCACCCCCTGCCAGGAGGTCCCAGTCTCACGCCTTCCTCATGTGTTGTCCTACCTGCTGGGATGGGGGTCAGCCTCTCTTTAGTGACGTCACATACTCTGGGATCCTGAGGACTGGGCCCACCCCTGGGATCCCCAGGGAGGATACGAAGGAGGCCCCATCCGTATAGGCGGTGCTCCTGGGGTGCCAGGACCAGGTACTGTCACACCCTGCCAGCTCAGCCCTGGAGTGTGAGATGCTAGGGATGCTTGAGTGAGGGAGATGGTATGGGGACTGGGTTTCCCAAAAGCAGGGGAATCAGACCTCTGCCCCCAGCCAGAGCAAGCCTGGGGCACCGTGCTCGGGAGGGAAGAATCCGTCCACAGCCTTCCCCTTTGTTGGCGCCTCTGTCCTGCCTACCTTGGTCCTGGAAGCCTTGATTATAAAGGCGGGAACTTCACTATTCGACTTGCTTTCCTTTCAGACATTCTTGGCTCAGGGCCTGGGTTGAGGGAGCTTCAGGAAGGATGTCCATCTGGGTGCTTTTCCTCCAATTTGCTGGCTGGCGTCCCCATCTGTCCACAGTGACCTCAGAGAGAGGCCACTCACGCTCATGTGTTGTCCCCACCGCCCACTTGTTTCATGTCACTGTCCACATGTATTTATATTCTTGATATTTTCTACCCTCACTAGAATGTAAACTCCATGAAGGCAGACTTTTCTCGTTCCCTTCTCTATCTCTAGAATAAGACCAACCTGAACCTGGCATATAGTAGCTGCTTAATAAATATTCATCTGTCAATTAGTTGGTTTGTCAGAACGTGTCCTTAGACCACCTGTAGATATTTCTATTTCTCTTTTTTTGTTGTTTTCTTTTTTTTAGAGACAGAGTCCTACTCTGTCACTCAGGCCAGTGGTATAGTCCTAGCTCACTGCAGCTCCAAACTCCTGGCCTTCAAGTCATCCTCCGGCCTTAGCCTCCCAACGTGCTATTATTACAGGACTGAGCCACCGAGCCTGGCTGGATATTTCTTTAAATGCAACTTTGAGCCAGGTGCAGTGGCTCACATCTGTGATCCCAGCACTTTGGAAGGCCAAGTTTGGGTGGATTGCTTGAGCGCAGATGAAGACCAGCCTGGGCAACGTGGTGAAACCCTGTCTCTACAAAAAATACAAAAATTAGCAAGGTGTGGTGGCATGCACCTGTGGTCCCAGCTACTCAAGAGACTGAGGTGGGAGGAGAGCTTGAGCCTGGGAGGCAGGAGGCAGAGGTTGCAGTGATATGTAATGGTGCCACTCCAGGCTGGGGGCCAGGGCCAGACAGTGTCAACAACAAAAAGCAACTTCAGCCCATCTCGGAGGCTTATGACTGGCCTGTAATCCCAGCACTTTGGGAGGCTGAGGTGGGAGAATCATTTGAGCCCAGGAGTTTGAGACCAGCCTGGGCCATATTGCCAGACCCCGTCTGTACCAAAAATATATATATATGAATTAGGTGTGGTGGTGTGTGCCTTAGTCCCAGCTACTGGAGAGGCTGAAGTGATAATTGAATGAGCCTGGGAGGTCAAGGCTGCAGTGAGCCATGATTGTGCTACTGTACTCCAGCCTGGGCGACAGAACAAGATGTCTCAAAAAGTAAAATAAATGCAAGTTCTTGGATCCTGCAGCAGACCTTCAGAGTTGGAAGCTCTAGGGATGGACGGCTGGACAAGATGGCTTACACCTGTAATCTCAGCACTTTGGGAGGCCGAGGCAGGTGGATCACCTGAGGTCGGGATTTCCAGACCAGCCTGAGCAACATGGAAAAACCCCGTCTCTACTAAAAATAAAAAATTTGGCAGGGGTGGTGGCACGTGCCTGTAATCCCCGCTACTTGGGAGGCTGAGGCAGGAGAATCGCTTGAACCTGGGAGGTGGAGGTTGTGGTGAGCCAAGATAGTGCCACTGCACCCCAGCCCGGGCAACAAAAGCAAAACTCCATCTCAAAAAAAAAAAAAAGCTCCCAGAAGCCTGCAACTTCAGTGCTGGGGGATTCTTCCAGTAATGTTGAGAAACACTGTTCCCTGTCTGTGGGCTCCTGTTAAATATACTAGGCATTGTTCTGGGCATCTATCCCCTACCATCTGTGGTTTTAAACTACGGTACCGTAGGCCAGACTGTGCTGGGGGTTCTTTGCAGATGTTACTCATTCTATCTGCATAATAGCTTAGCCAAGTGGCCCGAGAAGCCCCCGAGTCCGGGAGAACGGAAATTTACCAGACATGTACTGAGTCTCAACTCCTGTGCGAGGCCCAGGGGAGTCACTGGGTACTGGGTGGCTGCTTCCCCTACAATATCACAGGAAAGTGCTCGTTGAGGATGGGATTAGAATACACACAAGACCTGACTTAGGGTTTGGTGAAAGGACTGGGTATCCCGTGTAGAAGGCTGGTAGGCATGGGAGAGGAAAGCGTTAGTGCAGAGGAGATTGCTTCTTAGCTGAGGGAACAGCATGGGAAGGCAGGGAGGCCAGAGAGGCCCCTGGGTTCTGCAGCTCTTTCTCCTTCCTATCAGCTCTTCCTCCAGCACGGTGGGGCCTCTGAGCACTCTCCAGCCCCAGAGCACGGAGCCCTCAGCCCTCCTGGGTCTCGTGTCCCTGACTGGCTCCCAGGCTCCTTGGTTCTAACCATTTACAGTGACATCAGAAATTGGAACAGATCGAGGCTGGCGCAGTGGCTCACACCTGTAATCCCAGTACTTTGGGAGGCCAAGGGGGTGGATCATTTGAGGTCAGGAGTTGAAGACTAGCCTGGCCAACATGGTGAAATCCCATCTCTACTAAAATAAAAAAATTAGCCAGATGTAGTGGTGCACGTCTGTAGTCCCAGCGACTCCAGAGGCTGAGGTGGGAGGATTGCTTGAACCCAGGAGGCAGAAGTTGCAGTGAGCCAAGATCGTGCCACTGCACTCCAGCCCAGCAACAGAGCGAGACTCCCAACTCAAAAAAAAAAAAAAAAAAAAAAAGCTGCAGCAGCTATTGGTGTGTTTCCAGCGTGTCAGGCACCCCCCACCGCCGCCAACCTGGCCTGCTCCAGTCAAAGCAGGGAAAAAAAAAAACAGATCTAAATCTCTTGGGCTGGAGCACCAAGTCCTGGGGGTTGGGGACTGGGAGAGCTGGGGAGAGGCAAGGAAGAGCCAGCTGGGGCGGCCTACGAACCCAGAGGACTTTTTAAAATTTTATTTTGAAAATAGGGTCTCTCTATGTCACCTGGGCTGGAGAGCTGTGGCATGATCATAGTTCACTGCAGCCTCGACCTCTCAGGCTCAAGCAGTCCTCCTGCCTCAGCCTACTGAGTAGGTGGGACTACAGGCATGCACCACCATGCCCTGTTATTTTAAAATTTTTTTGTACAGATGGGGGTCTCACTGTGTTACACAGGCTGGTCTCAAACTCCTGCCTCAAGTGACCTTTCTGCCTTGACTTCTCAAAGTGCTAGAATTACAGGTGTGAGCCACTGTGCCCAGCCCATTTCCATATCTTAACATTCATTTATGGAAAAGGGAAGAGCAGGCATGTGACGTCATTTCCCCTTGCATTTCATTGGTGAGAGCAAATCACATCAAAGCCTGATCGCCAATCAATGTCCATGTGGAGATCTCAAGGCATAGATTGGAAATAAGCCCAGAGCTCTTGGGTAAGGTGAGGGCTGGAGTAATGGATTCTAAGGTCAGTGGTATAGAGACCACCTAAGGTCCTAAGACTGGACAAGAATGTTGGCATGAGAAGGGGGCCTCGGGGAACCCACAAAGGAGAGTCTGAGAGAAGCAAGAAAGAAAACTAGAACAGGTGACATCAGGAAAGCCCAGCATGAGAGGAATGGCCAATTGTGCCAAGTGATGGAGCGGCTGATCAACTACTGCATTTAGCAACGAGACATGACTGGTGGCGCCGAATAGAGCAGCTTCCATAAAGTAAGGGGCAGAGACAGAAGATACCTGGGGTGGGTTTTTTCTTTTGAGTCTGAGTTTTGCTTTTGTTGCCTAGGCTGGAGTGCAATGGCACAACCTCAGCTCACTGCAACCTTCACCTCCCGGGTTCAAGCGATTCTCTTGCCTTAGCCTCCCAAGTAGCTGGGATTACAGGCGTCCACCACCACGCCTGGCTAATTTTTGTATTTTTAGTAGAAAGGGGGGTTTCGCTATGTTGGCCAGGCTGGTCTTGAACTCCCGACCTCAGGTGATCCAGCCACCTCGGCCTCCTGAAGTGCTGGGATTACAGGCATGAGCCACTGTGCCCAGCCCTATCTGGAGTGGTTTGAAAAGATAATGAGAGATGGGGAATGGAAAGTGAGGCCACAGAGAACTCTGGAAAAATTTGGCTGTGACAGAAAAAGGAGAGGTGGGAGTTGGAGGGGCTCATAGGGTTACAGAGTTGTTTTTTATGGACAGAGTAGGCATGTCAATATCCTGATGACGATGCTGCACAGAGAAGAAACTGACGGCATATCAGCTGGGCACAGAGGCTCACACCCGTAATCCCAGCCCTTTGGGAGGCAGAGGCAGGCGGATCACTTGAAGTCAGGAGTTCATGACCAGTCTGGGCAACATGGCAAAACCCCATTACTAAAAATACAAAATTAGCAGGGCATAGTGGTGCATGACTGCAGTCCCAGCTACTTGGTAGGCTGAAGCAGGAGAATCACTTGAACCCAGGAGGTGGAGGTTGCAGTGAGGTGAGATCACGTCACTGCACTCCAACCTGGGTGACAAGAGCGAGACTGTCTCAAACAAAGGGAAAAACAATGATAGCACAGGAGAGGAAGGCGATCAGTGGAGGAACGCAGCCCTCCCTCCTACAGTCCATGGGGAGGAGCTGCGGCTGGGAACAGGAGGGAGGGCAGAGTCCAGATGCCAGCAGTTTGTTAGGTTTGTTGCTGGGAAGGGCCTCCCTACCCAATTTGCTTCTATTTTCTCAAAGAGGTGAGAGAAAGTGGGCAGGGGCGTAGGAGGCTGAGAAGAGAGGTGGTGTGAAGGGTTGTCTCAAAGCAGATCGCACACAAGACAGAGCAGCAGTCAGAGGAGCTGTACCTCCCCCAAAGTTTGTTGCCATGAGTTTAAAATAAGATCAGTCAGCTCCAAGGGGTGTTCCTCCTCCAGCAACATGCAGCTGGTCAGGGGCAGTGCAGAGAGGGAGGGAGGTGCTTTAAGAAGGGATGGGGCTTTTTCCAATAAATATCACAGGGAAGGGAAGATCAAGGAGTTGGGGAGGCTTTTAGGGGGTTGTTTTTAATAGAAACAGGGTCTCCCTCTGTCACCCAGGCTGGAGTGCAGTGATGTGATCATAGCTCACTGCAGCCTCCAACTTCTAGGCTCAGGCAATCCACTTAGCTTAGCCTCCAGAGTAGCTGGGAACTTGGGTGCATGCCACCACACCTGGCGAATTTTTTAAGAGATAGGAGTCTTATTATGTTGGCCAGGCTGGTCTCAAACTCCTAGTCTCAAGTGATCCTTGTGCCTTGGCCTCCCAAGGTGCTAGGGTTACAGGCCTAAGTTCCCACACTCAGCCCCTAGGATGTTTTTACTTCCTTGGCAGAGATGGGGCGGGCCTGGCACTTACAACTCTACCTGGCCTGCAAAGGGCTGGTGTACCCAGGCTAACTGCACCTGGATCCTTCTCTCAAATGAGGGCCCCTTACTGGTTGTGGGGGAGAGGGTAGAATGAGGGCATCCCTCCCTCATTGTTCCTGAAAAACCCAGACCAGAAGCCCAAGGAGATGCCCAATTCCTACTGCTCTGGGCAAGGTCCTCCTCCCCAACCTGATAGCCCCCTCCCAGGAAGGTACAAGTATACAGCACAGGGTGCCAGCCTGGCATGCCCACTGGTGCTGCCAGCACCACCAGCAGGGAGTCTCCCCTATGGGAAGCTGGGCTGCATCTGCCACAGCTGAAGGGTTAGATGCTGAGAGTCCCAGGCAGCTGCGCTCCTGGAGGCCCGGTGGTGAAACGTTGCTAGTGGGGGCCCCATGCCCCTGCCTGTGGCATCGTCGCCCCTACCGGGCTCTAGGAAGCCAACAGCTACTCAGTGCACAAAGCTTTGGGGCCACATTCATACTGGGTGACTTCCAGTTCATCATCCCCCTGCCTTGGGGTCCTCTCCCCTTTATAGAGAACAGTCTCCTGCAACTATCTAAATATGTCAGCCAGGCACGGTCACTCAAGCTTGTAATCCCAGCACTTTGGGAAGCTAAGGCAGGTGGATCACCTGAGGTTGAGAGTTCGAGACCAGCCTGGCCAACATGATGAAACCCCATCTCTACTAAAAAAAAAAAAAAAAAAAAAAAAAAAAAATTAGCCAGGTATGGTGGCACGCACCTGTAATCCCAGCTACTCAGGAGAATCACTTGAACCTAGGAGGCGGAGGTTTCAGTGAGCAGAGATCACACCATTATGCTCCAGCCTAGATGACAGAACAAGACTTAGTCTCTAAAAACGAAAAAAAAGATGTCAGGGGCACCTCCCCTCTCCACCATTAAGCTCCCTTGTGACCCCAATTAACATCAGACAAGACAAAAGCATTTAAATTTTAAATGCCCAAAAACGTCCATTTTATTGGTCAAGGGTGCAGTACAGGCACCACGTGGTTGTCCGCAGGAGCTTTGGGGATCTGAGCAGACTGAAGGGATATCCCCTCCCCGGGGCTGGGCCCACTGACCACCCTTCTGCCCAGGGGCTGACCCTCAGGCCCCATCCCCAGCAGCCCAAACGCCGTGTTGAAGAGGTTGATGGGAGTGGAACCGTCAGTGATGAGGGTTGATTTCAGGCCCAGGGACTGGAGCAGTTTGACCTGGAGGGTGAGAACAGGAGGAAGTTGAGAAGATGGGCATCAAACCCTGGCTACTTCTCTCAGCTCCTCATCTGCCTCTCTAGGGAGCCAAGCTGCAGAGTTTTTGGGGACTCTCCTTAAGTCAGCTGGTTTGAAGGGTCACCTCTCCTGCATCTGATCACCCTGTTCGACTGCCTTGGACCCTCTTGTCACAGACTGGTGTCCCATCCATTTCCTGTCTCCTCGGGAGCCTCAGCTCACTGCTAGGTCTAGTATAGTGCCTGACATTGATGCAGCATGACACTGCATAAATGACCGGAGATGCAGGAACAGGTTTCTCACCCCTCCTTCCCCCACCCACCATCTTTCCAGATGTTGTGTTGTGCCCCTTGATTCTTCCTTCCTGGTTCCAAGGAAGTCCAGGCTGGTCCTGAAAGCAACATGCCTTCCCCTCCCTGCCTTCCCAACTCTCACCTGCATCTCAGGCCCAGCCACAGCAAGGTCCCTGATGGTGCTGGGGCCCAGGGCCTCTGTCATCTGCTTGAACTTCTTCACCTCCACCTCAGCCAACTGCTGAGCCTTGCTCACCTCCAGCTCCAGCTGGGCCCGGGCATAAACCAGTTCCAGCTCTCGGACCTTCCGCACCCGCTGGAGCTCAGCCTCCTGCAAGGGGAAAAAATCCACCATTCTTTATTTTTTGACCCAGGCTGGAATGTAGATCAGGACTCACTGCAGCCTTGAACTCCTGGGCTCAAAGGAGTCTCCTGCCTCAGCCTCCTGGGTAGCTGGGACTATAGGCACATGCCACTACAGCCAGCCAATTAATATTTTTTTTGTAGAGAGGAGGTCTTGCTGTGTTGCCCAGGCTGGTCTTGAACTGCTCTCAAACTGACCTCAGATGATTCTCCCATCTCAGCCTTCCAAAGTGCTGGGGTTACAGGCATGAGCCACCACACTAGGCCTCTTTTTAAATTTATTTTTATTTACTTATTTTTGAGATGGAGTTTTGTTCTTATTGCCCAGGCTGGAGTGTAGTGGTACGACCTTGGCTCACTGCGACCTCTACCTCCTGGGTTCAAGTGATTCTCCTGCCTCAGCCTCCTGAGTAGCTGGGATTACAGGTGTGTGCTACCATGCCCAGCTAATTTTTTGTATTTTTAGTAGAGACAGGCTTTCACTATGTTGGCCAGGCTGGTCTTGAACTCCTGACCTCAGGTGATCCATCTGCCTTGGCCTCCCAAAGTGCTGGGATTACAGATGTGAGCCACTGTGCCCAGCCTTGTTTTTATTTTTTAGGGACAAAGTCTTGCTCTGTCACCCAGGCCGGAGTGCAGTGGCAGGATCGCAGCTCACTGCAGCTTCAACCTCCTGGGCTCAAGTGATCCTCCCACCTCAGCCTCCCAAAGTGCTGGGATTGCAGGCATGAGCCACTGTGGTTGGCCAAAGCAGAATCTGAACCCAGATCATCCGACCATCTCCAAAGTCCTCCATCCACTGAATGAATTACTTATCAAGCATGTCAGTCACATGAGACATTCAAATTTTCAGCACCCTTTAGATCACGTGGTCCCTCAGAACTGTCCAGCAAGTCACCCCTACCAGCCAGCTCGAGGGAACTGAGGTAGAGGGATGGAGCTAGAAACATGTAGTCAGTGAGGTGTGAGTCCTGGCTCTTCCACTGTTTAACTAGTGACCTTTGGGGCTCCTGAGCCCATCTACCTACGTTAATGGGATTTTTGTTTAATTGAGATGGAGTCTCACTTTTTTTGCCTAGGCTGGAATGCAGTGGAGTGATCTCAGCTCACTGAACTCCACTTCCTGGGTTCAAGCGATTCTCCTGCCTCAGCCTCCCAAGCAGCTGGGATTACAGGCATGCGCCATCACGTCCAGCTAATTTTGTATTTTTAGTAGAGACAGGGTTTCTCCATGTTGGTCAGGCTGGTTTCAAACTCCCAACCTCAGGTGATCCACCCACCTTGGCCTCTCAAAGTGTTGGGATTACAGGGGTGAGCCACTGCACCCAGCCAATTTTTGTATTTTTAGTAGAGACAGGGTTTCACCATGTTGGCCAAGCTGGTCTCGAACTCCTGACCTCAAGTGATCTGCCTGTCTCAGCCTCCCAAAAGTGCTGGGATTACAGGTGTGAGCCACCATGCCCAGCCTCTTAATGGGATTTCAAGCATTAAGTAAGATCATTCATGTGACGCACACGTGACGCCTGTGCCAAGGTGGCCAGTGCATGAGCGCTCAGCTGCAAAGTGGGTGTTCTAATCCTTACCTTCCAGGAATGGAGTCAATGAATCCTACAAGGCAAAGGACTTTGTCAACTACAAAGTACTTGGATAGGGCTTTATGCTGGGGGACCTGGTATCCTACATGGTCTCAGGGACTGGAGGGAATGGGGTTTTCCAGGCCTCAAGGCCACTCCCTTCCTGAGGTATCCCCCGCCCCACTCACCGTCTCGATGGCCAAGGCCTCTGCTTTCAGCTTGGCCTGCAGCACGGACCCTTCTCCCTCAATCCGGGCTGCCTCTGCACGGGACTCGGCCTCCGCCTTGGCATTCCCGGTGCTCTCCACAGCCATGCTGGGGAGGAAGCAGAGTCAGGTAAGACCTGGGAGACCGCCCAGTCCTCCCACAGCCTTGACTTATGCTGTAGCCACGCACAGGTGCGCACCATCTTATCCACGCCCCAACCTGGCGTGCTGCCCACCAGCTGCTGTCCCAAGATCCTCAGCCCCTGCCAGTCTCCTCCTCGAGTTCTCAACCCACCTCAGAGCCTCCAGCTCCAAGAGTTCCTTGCGCGCTTTCTCAGCTTCTGACTGGTCCAGGATCTTCTGCCGCTCAAGCCGGCCGCGGGCTTCCTGCTCCAGTCTCTGAGCCTCGTGCCTGGAGGAGACAGAGCGCACGTGACAGGCTGGCATGGGCCGGAGCGGGAACAGGAGCGCCAAGGGCAGCGACCACCAACCAAACTGGTGCCTGAGACGGACTCCGGCCCTAGGAGGCACTCCACAAGCAACTCAGCCCAGAATGGTGCGCGCGCCGCCGGCCAGTGTAGTTCTAGGCCTGGCAAACGCAGGCGTCATCGCGGCCCCTGCTTTCACGCCACTTGCCTTCCAATGGGAAAGAAACAAGCACAAAAGGAGGATTTCAAACAGTGACAAGTACTTCGAAGGTAGTAAAGTGGGAGAGACCAGGCAAAGAGGGTGCTATTCAGCTGTGAGAGAAAGAAAAGGACTTCCTAAGGCGGGGAGCTTTGGGCCGAAGCCAGGAGGAGGAGCCTGCCTAGAAGGGAGCTGGGGGCCGGTGGTAGGGGTCGGGGGTGGGGGGGCTTTCTGGGCAGCAGGAACAGCCAGTGCAAAAGGCCTTCAGGTGGGTCCAAGCTGTGCACTGAAGGAGCAGAAGGGACCCAGTGGGGCTGGAACATGTTCCGGGGATGAGGAACATGGAAGGAGGAGGGTGGAAGGCAAATCGGGGGAGGCTGGCTGGACCTACAGGAAGGAGTTTGGGTTTTATCGCATGCAAGATGGGAGGCTGCAGGAGCCGCATCTGATACATGTCTTTTCCCCCACCTCCTTTCTCTTTTGAGACAGGGTCTGTCTCCCAGGCCTGTTGCCCAGCCTGGAGTGCAGTGGCACAATCATGGCTCACTGAAGCCCCAAATTCCTGGCTTCAAGTGATCTTCCCGCCTCGGCCTCTCATGGTGCTGGGATTACATGCATGAGCCAGCGCACCCAGCCTGTTTCACATTTTAAGTGGGTCACCTGATCTGTCAGCTAGGGAATAGATCCCTAGGGGTGGGGACGGCAGCAGGCAGTCCATAGGGGACACCAGATTATCCAGGTCCCGGCAGTGGCCTGCCATGGGCATGATGGGTAGCCAGGCTCCCGGCCTCACTCACTTGGCTGCCGCTTCCTGGGAGTTGGTGGTAATCTCAATGGCCAGCTGGACGCTGCGTTGCAGGGCGTCCCGGGTTCTCTGATCCACGGGCTCCACTGACTGCACATCCACGCTGCTGACCACCAGCCCATTTTGGGGGAAGACAGCCCGATCCCGGGGCCTAGGCAGGGCTGTGCCATCGGGGCCCTTGGCTTCTGAGGTCTCAAAGCCAAAGACGGCAGTGCGAATGATGCGGGCTGAGTTCTTATGGAAGTCATCGAAAGTGACAGACGCCACAGCCCCCCGCACCCGGGATGCGATGGCCTTGCAGGCATCACCTACAAAGTCTGGCACTGAAAAGAGCTTGGCTGTCTCTTGGGGGTCCTTCTGGTCATTCACCTCAAAGTGCCTGTGAACAAACAAACAGGCCCAGAATGAGAAAACCGCTTTCACCCAGGAATCTCTTTTTTTTTTTTTTTTGAAAGAAATAAGGTCTTGCCATGTTGACCAGGCTGGTCTTGAACTCCTGGGCTCAGGTGACCCTCCTGTCTCAGCCTCCCAAAGTCCTGGAATTACAGGTGTGATCACACCCGGCCAGCAACTCTTGGAGAAGAACTTCAACACCCACCCTCTATGGGTGGGCAGAGTCTCTCACAATGGAGAATGCTAATGTATGCCTGACAAGGGCCTAAGAAAACACATGCTCTCCTTTAATCCACTCAGCCACCCTATGAGATGGTAATGATCATCAACCCCATTTTGCAGATGAGGAAGTAGAGGTCCAGAGAGGTCAGGTGACTGACCCAAGGCCATATAACATGTGGCAAAGCCGGGCGCGGTGGCTCAAGCCTGTAATCCCAGCACTTTGGGAGGCCAAGGCGGGTGGATCACGAGGTCAAGAGATCAAGACCATCCTGGTCAACATGGTGAAACCCCGTCTCTACTAAAAATACAAAAAATTAGCTGGGCATGGTGGCACGTGCCTGTAGTCCCAGCTACTCAGGAGGCTGAGGCAGGAGAATTGCCTGAACCCAGGAGGCGGAGGTTGCGGTGAGCCGAGATCGCGCCATTGCACTCCAGCCTGGGTAACAAGAGCGAAACTCCATCTCAAAAAAAAAAAAAAAAAAAACACGTGGCAAGCCAGAAACCTGGACCAGGCAGCTGCCCCAGGGGCCTGTGCTCTCAACTATGATGCTATAGTGCCTGGGAATATGTCAGCAGCTGTCTGCCACCAACCAGGCACTGGCTGCTTCCCACTAAGAGGAGAGGGACATGCTTGGGAATCCCAAAAGATTCCTTTTGGAGACAGAATCCTGCTCTGTCGCCCGGCTGGAGTGCAGTGGCATAATCTCGATTCACTGCAACCTCCACCTCCCAGGTTCAAGCGATTCTCCTGCCTCAGCCCCCTGAGTAGCTAAGATTACAGGTGCCCACTACCACATCCAGCTAATTTTTGTATTTTTAGTAGAGACAGGGTTTCACCACATTGGCCAGGCTGGTCTTGACCTCAAGTGATCTGCCTGCCTCAGTCTCCCAAAGTGCTGGGATTACAGGCATGAGCCACCATGCCTAGCTTTTCTTTCCTTTTTTTTTCCCTTCCTTCCTTCAAGACAGGGTCTCCCTCTGTTGTCCAGGCCCGAGTGCAGCGGCACAATCATAGCTCACTGCGCCCTCAAATTCCTGGGCACCCTCAAATTCTCCCACCTCAGCCTCCCAAGTAGTTGGGTCTACAGCAGCTACCATGCCGAGCTAGTTTTTAAAATTTTTTTGTAGAGACAGGGTCTCGCTATGTTGCCCAGCCTGGTCTCAAACTTCTAGCCTCAAGCAATCCTCCTGCCTCAGCCTCCCAAAGTGCTGGGTTCACAGCGCACCGTCCCTGGTCATGAACACTGTTTCTGAACATGACTTATCTCACCTAATCCTAATAGCTGCCATTGAGCTCTGACCATATTTGGGGCACTGTTCTAATGCTCGTTGCATCCTTTCAACAACTTTGTGAAGGAAGTAATGCTATCTTCTTCATGTTACTGACGGAGAAACTGAGGAAAGCACCCTGTCCCTTGCCCAGGTCAACAGGCTGCAAACAGCAGGGCCGGGGCACAGGCCAGGATGGTCAGTTTAAGAGCATGTGTTCTTACTGCCTGCTGGCACCGCCCACTTCCGCTGGGTGTGTCCCTTGCATCTTTTAACAGCCTGGCATTAAGCATTTGGCTGCAGGCACGAAGGGAGCTTAACGGTGTAGTGTCTTGCTACTGGGTCGCCGAGTCCTGATCCCAGGAGGTGAGCCCACGCTTCCCTGTATTTGCGTGACTTCCCAGGTTCCCTCTTGACCTCAGGACTGAAGGAGGTGTCCTGCTCTCATGAGGAGCCCAGCACTTGAGCAGGCACCTCTTTTTCTTGGGGTTCCTGGGCTGCATCCAGCAGGAGCCCTCACCCACTGCTCCCCACTAGGTTTGGTTTGAGACAGGGTCTTGCTCTGTCACCTAGGCTGGAGTACAGTGGGGGCATCATGGCTCACTGTAGCCTGGACCTCCCGGGCTCAAGCGATCCTCCCACCTGAACCTCCCAGAGTGCTGGGATTTCAGTAGTGCACCCCGCGCCTGATCCCTGTTTTTACCAGTTGTAGGCCAGCTGCAATTGCAGCCTGGCATGATCCGCTGTTTCAATGGTGATGACGTCTGTGAAGAAGTCAGGCCCCAGCAGCAGGCAGAGCGCACGGCGGGCGTGGGGACGCTTGGGCCGCCCGGCCGAGAGGGACAGCACTGTGAACTGCTCCTCAGGACCCAGCGACACCAGCTCAGGCCCAAAGACCACACTGCAGAGAGAGCTGGGGGTCAGAGCCAGACCCATGGAGAGCCACCCCCATACCCTGCTCGCCCCGACCGGGGCTCACCGGGCTCGCTTCGCTCGGTAGTCATACACCTGCACGGCAGCGTTGTGGGGTACGCGGTAGCTGACCACGCGGGTCTTGTTCCGGGGTGCAGAGGGCTGGAGGCTCTTAGCTGTGCCCTTGTCACCCCTGTCCGCCAGAGGGTCCTGCCCCTTGTTGAGCAGCTCCTCCACCCCGGGAGGCAGCTCCTTCTCCCACAGGACTTCGTCCTCCGTCAGCATGTAGGTGCTTCCGATCACGGCGCGCACCTTGGGGTGAGGACAGGAAGGGATGCTGCCAGTGAGGGTGGAAGGGAGGAAGACCCGCCCAGCGGCCCCAAAGCACAGCCCGTCCAGGGAAGGTGCGGCGCAAGGTTAAACATGGCCTCCGTGGGGAGGGCAGGGTCCACCCCGCATTTGCCATCTGCTGGCCCTGTCGTTGTGGGCTAACTACCTCAGCCCTAGGGCTTCAATTTCCTCCTCTGTCAAGTAGACTTGAGAGTGGCTACCTCCAGGGGTGAAAGGGTGAATGACATCTCCCACATCTACCTCAAACAGCCCTTGCACAGAGAAGGTGCTCAATGTTATTTCTAGAATTTTCTGGCTGGGCACGGTGGCTCATGCCTGTAATCCTAGTACTTTGGGAGGCTGAGGTGGGTGGACTGCCTGAGCTCAGGAGTTTGAGACCAGCCTAGGCAACACAGTGAAACCCTGTCTATTCTAAAAATAAATTAGCTGAGCGTGGTGGCAGATGCCTATAGTCCCAGCTACTCAAGAGGCTGAGGCAGGAGAGTCATTCGAACCCAGGAGGCAGAGGTTGCAGTGAGCCAAGATAGTGCCACTGCACTCCAACCTGGGCGACAGAGTGAGACTCCATCTCAAAAAAAAAAAAAAAAAAAAATCTTCCTTGAAGGGGCAGTTTGGAGGGCACCCCAGGGACTGTGAAGTAGGCCGTGTACACGGACACTCCCTCGGGTTCCAAGCTGGACTTCCAGCTTGGATTCTTAGAGAAGGTTGGCGATGTGGCCCAAGGTGAAATCAAAGTCAAGGTTTTAAGTAGCAAAAATGAAAGATTCTACTGGCATATGGGCATGGGGGAGGAGGTCCTTCTTTCCCCAGCCACTCCATTAGACGTTTATGCTGGGGACCAGGTCTGCTGTGAGACAGGGTCTCTGTCCTAAACTCCTGCTTGTCTTCTTAGGGGAGGTTCTAATTTTTTTTATTTTTAAGATGGAGTCTTGCTCTGTTGTCCCGGCTGGAGTGCCGTGGTGTGACCTCGGCTCACTGCAGCCTCCACCTCCTGGATTCAAGCAATTCTCCTGCCTCAGCCTCCCAGGCAGCTGAGACTACCCAGACCACCACCATGCTTGGCTCATTTTTGTATTTTTAGTAGAAATGGGGTTTCACCATGTTGGCCAGGCTGGTCTTGAACTCCTGACCTCAGGTGATCCACCCACCTTGGCCTCCCAAAGCGCTGGGATTACAGGAGTGAGCCACTGCACCCGGCCGGTTCTAACATTTCAAACGAGATATTTAAGGCAGAAGGATGGCAAATACGCCACGGAGTGCCCTCCCCTGACCAGACAACCTACCCGATGCGGCTCTCCATCTGCTGAAGTCCCCACCCACCTCTCCCCGGTGCCCAGAGGAAGCTGCCACCAAGGCCAAGGCCACAGCCACGTGGCAGCACCACCGCCCACCCCCAGCCATTACCTTTCCGGTCTTGACATCCTGCACATAGATGCCCTCGTTCTCATCTAGAGGGATGGCCTGGCGCTCCTCCACCACCTCCACCTTGGCAGACGGCACGTACTCCAGGGGTCCGCGGATGAGCCAGCGGTCCCCAGCCTGGCGTGAGACCTTCTCCACATCCTCCCCCTCTTCCAGGGGCTGCAGGGCCCTCAGCAGCAGCCCCTCCTGCTCCGACAGCACGTACACATCCTGGATGCCTTGTTCCAGCTGCTCTCCTGGCTGGAGGAAAAAAGACTTCTCTCCCTAATGGAGAGACGAGAGGTTAGTGCTAGTGCCTTTAGGCTTGCAGATGCCTCAGATGGCACCTCCCCAGCCCTGTGCTGTCTCAGGCCTGTGTGGAGAACAGGAGCCCCAGAAGCACGCCCCCACCCCCACATCATAATACGGTGAGGCTCTACGCAATGCCTGCCAAATCTCATCTGGTCAAATGTGTCCTTGAAAGATTCTATAAACTGTCAGGTCCTGGATCCACACAAACTAAACCATTAAAAATCAACCTCTTTTTTCTCCTTTCTCCCAGGCTTTGTTTTCTAGAGAGGGTGTAACCTAAGGCTTGACAAGTTCTGGTTTTCAGGCCAAATCTGGATTCCGCTTTTTTCTTTTTTGGGGGGTAATAGGGTCTTGCTCTGTTGTCCAGGCTGGAGTGCAGTGGCACCATCTCAACTCACTGCAGCTTCAGCCTTCCAGGTTCAAGCGATCCTCCCACCTCAGCCTCCCAAGGAGCCGAGACTACAGATGCGTGTCACCGCACCCGGCTAATTTTTGTGTGCTTGGTAGTGACGGGGTTTCGTCATGTTGCCTAGGCTGGTCTCAAAATCCTGGGCTTAAGCAATCCACCCGCCTCAGCCTCCCAAAGTGCTAAGATTATAGACATGAGCCACCATGCCCAGCACTGCCTGTTTTTTTAAAAAAATTATTGGGCTATAATCCACATGAAATTTTCCCATCTAGAGTATACAATTCAGTTGTTTTAGTATGCTCAAAGTTGTCCACCCATCACTACTATGGAAGTCTAGAGTATTTTCATCATCACCCTGAAAAGAAACCCTGTACCTAGTAGAAGTTACTGCTACTCCCCACCCACCCTACCCACCACTCGTCTGTTTTCGTTATTTACCTATTCTGGACATTCATATAAATGGAATCATGCAATATGTGGTCTTTGATGTCTGGCTTTTTTTTTTTTTTTTTTTGAGACAGAGTCTTGCTCAGCCGCCTAGGCTGGAGTGCACTGACGCGATCTTGGCTCACTGCAACCACCGTCTCCCAGTTCAAGCGATTCTCTTATCTCAGCCTCCTGAGTAGCTAGGATTACAGGCACCTGCCATCATGCCTGGCTAATTTCTGTATCTTAGTAGAGATGGGGTTTCACCATGTTGGCGAGGCTGGTCTGAACTCCTGACCTCAGGTGATCTGCCCGCCTCAGCCTCCCAAAGTGTTAGAATTACAGGTGTGAGACACCACACCCAGCCGGCTTCTTTCACTTATCATAATGTTTATCAATTTTAATCCATGTTGTAGCACATATGTCATTTCATTGTTTTCTTTTTCCTAGAGACAGGATCTCACTCTGTTGCCTCAGGCTGGAGTACAGTGGCACCATACAGTCTCCACTTCCTGGAATCAAGTAATTTTCCCACTTCAGCCTCCCAAGTAGCTGAGACTACCGGCGTGCCACCATGTCTGGCCAGTTTTTAAACAGTTTTGTAAAAGTGGGGTCTTGCCCAGCCTGGCCAACATGGCGAAACCCCATCTCTACTAAAAACACAAAAATTAGCTGGGCGTGGTGGCAGGCACCTGTAATCCCAGCTACTTGCAGGGCTGAGGCAGAAGAATTGCTTGAATCCGGGAGGCGGAGGTTGCAGTGAGCCCAGATCATGCCATTGCACTCCAGCCTGGGTGACAGAGCGAGATTGTTTCCAAAAAAAAAGTAAAAATGGAGTCTCGCTATGTTACCCAGGCTAGTCTCTTAACTCCTGGCTTCAAGTAATCCTCTGCCTCGGCCTCCCAAAGAGCTGGGATTATAGTCATGAGCTGCTGTGCCTGGCCTGCCATTTCTCTCTTATGGCTGAATGATATTCCATTGTATGGATGTGCCACAATTTTTTATCTGTTTGTTAAATGGTGTACATTTGGGTTATTTCTACTTTTTTTTTTTTTTTTTTTTTTGGAGACAGAGTCTCACTCTGTCACTTGGGCTGGAGTGCAGCGGTGCAGTCTCGCCTCACTGCAACCTCTGCCTTCTGGGTTCAAGTGATTCTCCTGCCTCAGCCTCCAGAGTAGCTGGGATTACAGGCGCCTGATACCACGCCCAGATAATTTTTTTGTATTTTTAGTAGAGTCGGGGTTTCGCCATGTTGGCCAGGCTGGTTTCCAATTCCTGACCTCAGGTGATCCGCCCACCTTGGCCTCACAAAGTGCTGGGATTACAGGTGTGAGCCACTGCCCCTGGCCTATTTCTACTTTTTCTGCCTCCTGTTTTTGCAAATAAAATATTCCAGGAATGCAGCAGTACTCGCTTGTTTACGTACTGCCCATGCTGCTTTCCTGACATAACAGCACAGTTGAAGAACTTTCACGGAAATGATGACTCACGGAGCCTGGAATATCTACCATCCAGCCCCCTTTACAGAACGAGTTTGGCAACTCCTGGTATTCCCACATATAGTTCAGAGAGGGGATGAGGTACGGGGTGGGAGAGGGTACACCAAGAGGTTTGTTTTACAAAAGATAACAAAGCGAAGCGAGCACCAGAACATAAAATATGTGAAATAGTCACCGTGTGCTAGTTCACGGCACTACTGACTGCACAAGGTGGTCCTGTAAGATTATAATGGAGCTTTGGGGTTTTTTTTTTTTTTTTTTTTGAGACAGTCTCCCTCTGTCACCCAGGCTGGAGTCCAATGGCACAATCTTGGCTCACTGCAGGCTGGACTTCCTAGGTTCAAGTGATTCTTGTGCCTCAGCCTCCCAAGTAACTGGAATTACATGTGTGTGCCACCACACCCAGCATACTTTTGCATTTTTAGTAGAAAGGGATTTCCCGACGTTGGCCAGGCTGGTCTTGAAACTCCTGACCTCAAGTGATCCACCTACATCGGCCTCCCAAAGTGCTGTGATTATGGGCATGAGCCACCGCAGCTGGCCTTATACCGCATTTTTACAGTGCCTTTTCTATGGTTATACACACAAGTACTTACCATTGTGTTCAGCTGCCTGCAGTATTCAGGACAGTCACATGCTGTGCAGGTGGGCAGCCTCGGGGCAGGCTACGTCATCTAGCCTAGGTGTATAGTAGGCTGTGCCATCTAGGTTTACGTAAGTACACTCTTTCGCACAAAGACAAAGTTATCTAACGACCATTTCTCGGAATGCATCCCCATTGTTAAGTGACACATGACTGTATCAGAAAGTTTCAGGGTCTCGGGCTAGGGGGCAGCCAGAAGGCCTTCCCAGAAGAGGAAGTAACTTCAGGTCTGAAGGGTAAGTTGAAGGCTGCCAGGAATCAAATGGGCCAATATCTCAGGTGTGTGAGAACTAAGCATGCAAAGGCACAGGTGTTCCTAGAACGTGCGTCTGAAGGAAAGAAGGGAGAAAGGGCAGAGGGCCTCGTGCCACTCGAGGGTATTAGCCTCCCAGGGTCATCCTCTGCGGGGATTGCTGGGGCCTCACCTTGACCACGCGCTTCTGCCCCAGCTGATTCTTGCCATCCTGTCCGACGGGGTCAAGAATCACACAGTAGTTGCAGGGGCCCAGGGTGGTGATGGGCACAACCCCCAGCACCTCCTCGTGGACATCTGGCACGTGGGCCTCCGTGTCCTGCACGGTCACCAGCCACTCCTCCCCAGTGCGGCGGGACACCCCCCTGAAGTCCTGGAAGTTCCGCCGAGCCCGGAGGTGCAGGGCTGTCTGCAGAGCAAGATTTGGGTATTTGAGTGACCTGCCTCCAACTTCAGGGGATCTGCGAGCCCCATTAGCCACCAAATGCTCCCAGGTCTCAGAGGAAATTTCTACCAATCGAGGGCTTTTTTAAATTTTTTGGTTATGAGTTGGAGTTTCATTCTTGTTGCCTAGGCGGGAGTGCAATGGTGTGATCTTGGCTCACTGCAACCTCCACCTCCTGGGTTCAAGCGATTCTCCTGCCTCAGCCTCCGGAGTATCTGGGATTACAGGCACGTACAACCACATCTTGCTAATTTTTGTATTTTTAGTAGAGATAGGGTTTTGCCATGTTGGCCAGTCTGGTCTCAAACTTCTGACTTCAGGTGATCCACCCATCTTGGCCTCCCCAAGTGTTAGGATTATAGGCGTCAGCCACTGCACCCGGCCAGCCTGTTTTTTTTTTTTTTTTTTTTTTGAGACAGAGTCTTGCTCTGTCTCCCAGGCTAGAGTGTAGTGGCATGACCATGGCTCACTGCAACCTCTGCCTCCCAGGTTCAAGTGATTCTCCTGCCTCAGCCTCTGGAGTAGCTGGGACTACAGGCGTGCTCTACTACACCCAACTTGTTTTAAAATTTTTTGTAGAGGTAAGTTCTCCCTGTGTTGCCCACGCTGGTCTCAGATTTCTGGCCTCAAGTGATTCTCCCACCTCAGCCTTCCAAATTGCTGAGATTACAGATATGAGCCACTTCGCCTGGCCCAGGAAGGACTATTTCACCCTTCAGATGATTCAGAATACTCCTCAGGTAATCTAATCTCTGAATTTTTTTAAGTGATCCTAAAATTATTGCTTCTCTTTTACTCTCATGCCATCCTGCCACTATTCACTGCCTCTCGGAAGGTTCCCTAGCCCCAGGTCCCTTAAACCACAGCCCCCAGAGCACCAACCTTTTCCGTAAGGATCACGGCATCCACCAAATCCAGGACTTCCTCAAACACCCCTGGGAGGTACGCCCCCACTGTGGTGACCAGCCATTCTTCCCCTGGGCCGAGAGTGGAGGGTAAGTGACGAGGGTCCACCAGCCTGCTCCCCACCTGCCTCTCCCACAGCCTAGACTCAGGGGATTGGCAGATTTCATTGGCAAAGAGACGCCACTGGCCCAGGCTCAAGGTCCTGACTACAGTCCTCTTATTCACTCTTTTGAAGCCAGAGGAAAACAAACTGCCACCCCAGTTGAATTTTAAAAGACTTTTTTTTTTTTTTTTTTTTTTTGAGATGGAGTCTCCTTCTGTCACCCAGGCTGTGATCTCAGCTCACTGCAAGCTCAGCCTCCTGAGTTGAACTGATTCTCAAGCCTCAGCCTCTTGAGTAGCTGGAATTACAGGCACATGCTACCATGCCTGGCTAATATTTGTATTTTTTGGACAGATGGGGTTTCACCATGTTGCCCAAGCTGGTCTCAAACTCTCGGCCACAAGTGATCCACCCACCTCGGCCTCCCAAGGTGCTGGGATTCCAGGCGAGAGCCATCGCACCTAAAAGCCTTCCTGAGGCCCAAGTTGCTGCTATGCCGACAGCGTGCTTTGCCTTCTCTAAGCTCCAAAGACCAACTTTTATCCTCCTAAAACAGGCAGCAGAACTGCCTCTGGTAGAGCTGTGGATGTCCTTGGGTTTATTGGAGAAGCCAGAGTGCCTGGATGCAGGTCCCAGCCTCACCCTGCCTGGCCACAACCCAGGGCAAGCAACCAGCGTTCTGTGTCCCAGTTTTGTTATACAGAAAGTGGGAATGGCAGTGGCTCGAGGTAGTACCTCTGTTGCCCAGGATGGAGGGCAGTGGTGCAATCACAGCTCACTGCGGCCTCCACCTCCTAGGCTCAAGCAATCCTCCCTCTTCAGCCTTCCAAGTAGCTGGGACTACAGACATATGCCAAAATGCCTGGCTAATTTTAAAATTATTTGTAGAGACGGGGTCTCACTGTGTTGCTCAAGCTGGTTTTGAGCTCCTGGGCTCAGGCAATCCACCACCTAGGCAAAGTGCTGAGATGACAGGTGTGAGACACTGTACCTGCTGGCCCACATTTGTCAACTGTATTTAAACATGTGCTTTGTTGATCCAGAATCAGATAAGACATGGCTACCACCCATAGCTCACTGTGAAGGTGGGGGAAGGAAAAGCTACGTCAGGCCCCATGATCATTTTCCAGCCCAAATGGAAACAGCATGAAGCGGGGGTGGGGAAAGAATGGCAGTGGGCGGCCCTCAACAGCTTTCAAAAGATACCAGGAAAGCACCTCTCTGGGGCTACAGGAGGCTTTCCTTAAATTTTCTATGTTTTCCCTGCAGTGGGGGCCCCTCCTGCCCACCTGCTCTCATTGCCCCTCAGTGCCCCACCTGTCACCCTTTCCTTGCCGTCCCGGTCCCAGCACTCTTTGCGGGCCCTCAGCCGCAGAGCCTGGTTCTGCCTGATGATGGTGGCCTGAATGATCTCCATGACCTCCACTTCCTTCCGGGGGATGTACGTGCCTGGGGAGGGAAGAAGACGTGGAAGGTGATGGTCAGAAGGTATTGGGGCTATGGCAGGAAGGCAGGGAGCCCCTGACCCCGACTTAGGCTCCGCGGAGACAGAACTTACCAGGTCCCTCGAAGAGCCACTCGTCTCCGGCCACCACTTTGTCTCCATCTTTATCCTCAAAATCGAGCAGTGCCTTCAGATGGAGGGCAGTGTTGGGCAGAACCACCTGCAGGGGTGTGATGTCCTAGTGGGGAGGAAGGTGGGGACACAGAACAGTCAGTGCTGTGACCCCAGTAGGGCCACACCTGATGCTCTGGAGGCAGGTCCACAGCATCCATCTCTGCATGTCCTGAAGTAGGACCGGGGTAGAGGCCAGGCGTGATGGCTCTCGCCTGTCATCCCAGCACTTTGGGAGGCTGAGGTAGGAGAATCACTTGAGCTCAGACATTCAAGACCAGCCTGGACAACATAGCAAGACCCCATCTCTAAAAAAAAAAAAAAAAAAAAAAAAAATTTAGCCAGGCATGGTGGTCCACACCTGTAGTCCCAACTACTCGGGAGGCTGAGGCAGGAGGATCACTTGAGCCCAGGAGGTTAAAGCTTCAGTGAGCTACGACTGTACCATTGCACTCCAGTCTGTCTCTTTTGAGACAGAGCAAGACCTTGTCTCAAAAAAGATAAAAGATCAGGAGACATAACCAAGGTCACACAGCTAGTAAGAAACAATCAAGACTTGAACTCTGGTCTTGAGTGAAGCCTGCGCTGCACCTGACTCTGATGAGCCTGGTCCCAGGCTGGAGGAGCGGGCAGAGCGACTCCACTCCACCCACTGGCCGCACACCAGCTAGAGAGCAGGGTGGAGGCTTCCCACTCTGAGCGCCTTTCCCTACAGGGCACCCTGGTTGTGGTGGCGAGAACATATCCCATCTTCATGAAGTTTAAATTCCAGCAGGGTGATAACACACAGATGTCGACCATTCTGTCCCAGCAGACTACAGATACTCCGAGGGTGAGAGGTTCTTCAGGTGTTCAGATGAAGGAGAAGTTAGAGAGGCCCTTTGAATTGAAACTGGGGCTCAAAGGAAAAGCTGGCTTCTTTTGGGGGGAAGGGGGACAGGGTCTCTCTGTGTGATCCAGATCCAGGCTGGACTGCAGTGGTATAACCATGGCTCACTGCAGCCTCAACCTTCCAGGCTCATGTGATCCTCCCGCCTCAGCCTCCTGAGTAGCTGGGATTACAAGTGTGTGTTACTACTTCCAGCTAATTTTTTTTTTTTTTTTTTTGAGACAGAGTCTTGCTTTGTCATACCAGCTCACTGCAACTTCTGCCTCCAGGTTCAAGGGATTCTCATGCCTCAGCCTCCTGAGTAGCTGAGATTACAAGTGCACGCCACCACATCTGGCTAATTGTTGTATGTTTAGTAGCGATGGGGTTTCCCCATGTTGGCCAGGCTGGTCTTGAATTCCTGACCTCAAGTATTCTGCCCACCTCAGCCTCCCAAAGTGCTGGGATTACAGGCATAAGCCACTGTGCCCGGCCGAATGTGTTCTTTAAAATGAAAGCTTAGAGGGCATGGTGGCTCACGCCTCTAATCCCAGAATTTTGGGAGAACAAGGTAGAAGGATCGTTTGAGTGCAGGAGGTCGAGGCTGAGTGAGCTCTGATCATTCCACTGCACTCCGGTCTAGGCAACAGGAGGAGATCCAGTCTCAATTAAAAAAAAATTTTAAAGTACAAAAATCCCCATATACTCTTCACTTGGATTCCTTAAGGGGTATCATCTTAATCATTCTCCATTTTCTCTCTACACACACGCTTCTTCCCCAAAACTGTCTGCACCTAAGTGGACATGAATGTCTCTAAAAGCTCCCCAGGTCCTGCCATTATGCATTCAGGATCAAGTGGCACGGGTTAGTAAAGTCAGTAAAAAAGCATTGAATGGCCAGAAGGTAAAGATGGGAGAACAGGTAAGGGAATGAAGGTGGGACGCTCACCTGCTCAGGCCCAGGCCTGAGGCCAAGGGAGACAAGAGGCTGGCTGCAGGTTCAGGCCTGTGACGGCTTCTCCTAGAACAGGCACAGCCTAGGCCTGGGCTTGTCACTGCTGCTTTGGCACTGCCCACCAGTGTCTGGCACTGGGTGAATGAAGTGCTTAACCTTGGCACATGTTATTTAATGCCAGACTGGCTGGGCACTTCAGGCAGGCACTGGAGCCTGGGAAATTAGTGGATGAGATGGGCTGGCAGTTCTCAGAAAAGAGGCAAGTGTGTTTGAGGCATGTGTGCAGGACGGGGGCGGCTGGAGGTGAGTGGAGGTACAGTGAGTCAATTCCACCCCTGGTGACAGCCGGCAAGTGTCTCTGCCCACCCCTCCCACTGCCCTGGTTTGTTTTCCATTTAGTATAGGCCGGGTACAGTGGCTCATGCCTGTAATTCCAGCACTTTGGGAGGCCAAGGCAGGCGGATCACCTGAGGTCAGGAGTTTGAGACCAGCCTGGCCAACATGATGAAACCCTGTCCCTACCAAAACTACAGAAATTTGCCGGGTGTGGTGGCAGGTGCCTGTAATCCCAGTTACTCGGGAGGACTGGGGAGGCTGAGGCAGGAGAATCGCTTGAACCCAGGAGGCGGAGGTTGCAGGTAGCTGAGATCATGCCATTGCACTCCAGCCTGGGTGACAAGAGCGAACCGCTGCCTTAAAAAAAAAAAAAAATTAACAGCATCTAGAAAAAAATGTTTAAAGAAAAGGCAGTCCAGAGCCCAAGGCAAGTGGAGCATAGGTAGGGTAGTGCAGAGGGAGTGAGGAAGCCAGGTACCTTTTCCAGCACCTCCCCTGGGTACAGGGGGAAAGGGTCCTGGGCCAGCCTGATCTCGAGGTCAGCGTGGCGAAGCCGAACTTGCCCTGTGACATCAAACAGCACCGAGTCCTGGGCATCCCGCGACACAGGGTTGGCCACTGTGCAGTAGTGGCGTGGGGGGACGGTCACCATGCGCATGGGGGCAAACAGTACCCTGCAGGAAGATGAGAAGAGGTGTGAGGCCTGAGGACTTGGGACCAGGTCTCCACTACCACAGGAGACACCAAATGAGAGAAACCTATCACCCAAGCGAGGGCCACTCCTGCTTGGGAACAGGGAGGACGAAAAGGATGATCACGCCAGCCAGACCCATGGGCCCCCACAGCCCTGAGTCTCCCCAACACCTACCTCTCGTTGTCCTGCCGGATGTAGGTCTTTGGCCCAACCTCCACACGGGACACGTTGCTGTTCTGGTCCAGCACGTGGATGTAGTGGTATGGGGGAATGCGGATGATGAACTCTTCAGTTGCCATGGTGACTCCTAAGCCCAAAGCTCACCAGAAGATGACTGGCAGGTAAGGGAGAGGACACAGGATGAGCCTGGGGAGCCTGGGCTGGGGCAGGCATGAGTCTGGAGAGAGGCCCTTGGTGGGATACGGCCTTACCTCCTCCAGCCAGGCCACCGCACCCTTTCCTGTCCATATCCGCATGTTCCCCGTCTTCACCCCACCCAAGATGACACAGCCTATCCTGACCACACCTTTGCCAAGAACTGCTTGATGCAGTAAGCCACAGAGGCCCAGGCTTCCTTGCCCATTCCGTTCCCTCACTCCCATCAACTACTTCACCTACACTGCTACCAGCACTGCAAAGGGCTTCAGATCAAGGCACTCCCAGTCCCTAAGGTGGAGAAATACAGCAAGCTGGGAGAGTGGGGAGCCATGGAGGCAGTGACGTGGCCTTGTCCAGCACGTAACAGGCAGTGGCTCTGAGGAGCTGTCTGGCTCCTCTGGGGGCAGGGGCAGGCTTTGAGAATCCTGAGGCCCTGGCTGTATTCAAACATCAGCCCATAGCCAAAGAATATCTGTACGCCTCAGGTAGTGCAGTGGCTAGGATTCAGCCATAACAAACACAAGGAAATGTTTGCATGAGCTGTGTCTACACCCCCGCCCCTGTTCCTACACTCTCAGTAATCCTGGGATGAATGTGAAGACCTGGCCCACTGCTCGTGAAAGGGATCCCAGATGGAACTGAGGCTTCCACAGGACCAACTGCATTAGAAACACTGCAAATCACTCTCACCCCTTCACCCCCAGTTCTCTCACCCTCAGCTCCCGCAGTTGTGAGCAAGGGTGGGGTGGAGAGGAAGGAGAAGGGGGATAATGATCATATTTCACCCATCCCATCCATCTGCTTCTGAATCCTGAGTGGAGTGCCACACACCCTACCTAAGCCCCATCCCTGCCCCCAGCACCCCTCGGACTTTGGACATGTCCCTTTGAGTCACACAAATGGAACCATTTACTAGGTGCTCCAGAGCCTCATCCTTAAGAGACTCATGTCAGGCTTCTTTATTTTTTGAGACAGGGTCTCATTCTGTTGCTCAGGCTAGAGTGCAGTGGTACAATCATAGCTCACAAAAGCCACAAACTCCTGGCCTCAAGCAATCCTCTAGCCTCAGCCTCCTGAATAGCTAAGACTACAGGTGCACGCCACCATGTCTTTTTTTTTTTTTTTTTTTTTTTAGAGATGAGGTCTCATTATGTTGCCCAGGCTCGTCTCGAACTCCTGGCCTGCTCACCTCTGCCTACCAAAGTACTGGGATTACAGGTGTGAGCCACTGCACCCAGCTGATGAGGAGGCTCTTTTGTCTGGTTGTGGCCTCAAAAATATCTGGCCAGGTGCAGTGCCACATCCCTATAATCCCAGCATTATGGGAGGCAGAGCGAGACTGTCACAAAAAAGTGGCTTTTCATCAGTTCCACCATCTGCCCAGCCTCCCACCCCAGGTGAGAAATGCAAGGGAAGAAGGGAGTGACCTGGCCTAGGAAAAACAGGCAGGAGCCATGAATTACAGAAGAAAGACTGGATACAGCCCAAGAGAAGAGTTATACTTGAGTCCTACAATCCGTAAAATTTCAACTTTTTGTTTAGAAATTGTGAATCTTCACAAAATCCCAATTCCTGCTTCACTTGAAGAATTAGAAGACCAGCAACACAGCCTACAGTCAAGCCTCAGCCGCCCCTTCAGATGGAACACAAGCTTCCCCACCTACCACAGTCCCCATCACCCCACACTGCCTTACGGCCACACCATTGCACTCCCCCACTTGTTGAAAAACCCTTTAACTCAGCAGTGTCCAATGGAAACTTCTACAATGATGGCAATATTCTAAATCTGTGCTGTCTTTGGACTAACCACATCCACATGTGGCTCCTGAACACTTAAAATGTGGCTAGCGGCTGGGCACTGTGGCTCATAGCGTTTTGGGAGGCTGGGGCAGGTGGATCATCTGAGGTCGGGAGTTTGAGACCAGCCTGGTCAACATGATGAAACCCTGTCTCTACTAAAAATACAAAAATTAGCTGGGCATGGTGGCATACACCTGTAATCCCAGCTACTCGGGAGGCTGAGGCAGGAGAATTGCTTGAACCCCGGAGGCAGAGGTTGCTGTGAGCAGAGATCTCATCATTGCACTCTGGCTCTGGAAGACAAAGCAATACTCCATCTTGGAAAAAATCAAATGTGACTGGTGCATCTGAGGAACTAAATCTTTAAATTATTTTTTGAGACAAGGTCTTGTTCTGTTGACCAGGCAGGAGTACAGTGGCACAATCATGGCTCACTGCAGCCTCAACCTCCAGCCTCAAGCGATCCTCCCACCTCAGCCTTCCAATTAGCTGGGATTACAGGTATATGCCACCAGGCCTAGCAAAAATTTTTTTTTTTTTTTTTTTCCCTGCAGAGATGAGGTTCTGCTATGTTGCCTAGGCTGGTCTCGAACTGCTGGGCTCAAGCAATCCTCCTGCCTCAGCTTCCTAAAGTGCTGGGATTAGAGGTGTGAGCTACTACACCCAGGTGATTTTAATTTAAATTGCCAAACATGTCTGGTTGATCCCATATTGGACAATGGAGTTCTAAATAGTTGAGCCCCGGATAGGGACAATGAATCCTTCAAGGCCACACAGCAAGTTAGTGGTACTGTTGGGACTAGAACCCTGGTGGAACGCCTGGTCCTGTCTTTCTAGAGAGGCATCATGGTCCCATCATTGGGGCACCCATTCTGAACTGAACTGCCAAGGCTTACAACTCTGATGGGCTGTTTTCATGTTTTTATATTGTTTCCTTACTGCCTTGCCTCATTTTGAGAGAGGTTACAGTTTGGATGTTTTCCTGGCACACTCCACATCACAGGTAGGTTATTCTGCTGCTCGTTCTTTCATCTTACAACTTTTGAGTCGGAGTTTCGCTCTTGTTGCCCAGGCTGGAGTGCAATGGCGCGATCTCGGCTCACCGCAACCTCCGCCTCCTGGGTTCAGGCAATTCTCCTGCCTCAGCCTCCTGAGTAGCTGGGACTACAGGCACGCGCCACCATGCCCAGCTAATTTTTTGTATTTTTAGTAGAGACGGGGTTTCACCATGTTGACCGGGATGGTCTCGATCTCTTGACCTCGTGATCCACCCGCCTCGGCCTCCCAAAGTGCTGGGATTACAGGCTTGAGCCACCACGCCCGGCCCCATCTTACAACTTTTTATGAGATCTGAACTTAATACTTTTCTGTTGCTAATTTTTGTTCAAAGTTACTTTCCCCTCATTTCTAGGAGGGTAGCTTGTCTAACAATCAGAGTTGCTACTTTTTTTTTTTTTTTTTCCTGAGACAAGTCTTCTTCTGTCACCCGGGCTGGAGTGTGGTGGCATGATCTCAGCTCACTGCAACCTCCACCTCCTGGGTTCAAGCGATTCTCTTGCCTCAGCACCCCCAGTAGGTTGGACTACAGGCACACACCACCATGCCTGGCTAATTTTGGTATTTTCAGTAGAGATGGTGTTGGTCGGGTTGGTCTCAAACTCCCCACCTTGTGATCCACCCACCTCGGCCTCCCAAAGTACTGGGATTCTAGGTATGAACCACCACGCCCGGCCCTCCTCTCGCCACTCTTAAGGGGACCTTGTCTTTTCTTCCTATTGCCCTGTGCTGCCCAGCTTTGATTTCACTCCCCAGTTGCTCTACAATACTGGGCGCAGTTCTGGAAAGGCAATTTCCTAGAGTCCAGAGGGCTGGGACTGCCTGGATCTGGACCTTTTTTTTTGGGCAGGGGGCCAGGGGGATAAGGTCTCTTTGTTGCCCAGGCTGGAGTGTAGTGGTGTAAATCATGGCTCACTGCAGCCTTGAACTCCTCAGCTCAAGGGACCATCTCAGTCTCCCGAGTAACTGGGACTGGAGGTACATACCACCACACCTAGCTAATTTTTAATTTTTTGTAGGTGTAAGGTCTTTGTTGTCCAGGTTGGTCTCAAAATCCTAGCCTTAAATCATCATCCAGCCTTAGCTTCCAAAAGCACTGGGATTACAGGTGGAGCCACCATGCCCAGCCAGGATGCCTGGATCTTGGCTCTCACCATTATGGGATCGGTGATCTTGGACAAGTCCCTTGACCACCCCATGCCTATTTCCTCATCTACAAAATCATCAACCAAGTTAGCACATAAAGCACTCGGAACAGAGCCTGGCTCTTCATCCACCCTGTCTGACTGCAGAGGAGGTAAGAGTGCCTGAGGCCCAGCTTTCCTATCCAGTGTGGGATCTAGGGAATGTAACCAGTGCCGGGGGCTCCCCATCTGACCTGGCACGCCGGTTTAAGCCTCGGTTGTTTACTGGTCAGTGGCAAATCTTGTTTCACCCCAGCTGCAGGGATGGAACAGCAAGTAGGGACTTCACTGCCAAGCAAAGTTTTTTCCACTGCTCCCTTGGTGGGTTCTCTGCAGGGCAGAAACCTGGCCAGGAAACCAGATGGGAGAAGAGGAAGGGCTGGGGCTCTGAGCGGAGGTACAGACTGGGCTCTGAGGCCCCCCAGGGAAGATCTGAACTCTAGAAAGCCATGCAAGGTTGGAAGCGGGCTCTGGGAACAGCCTCCATTGGCTCATTGACTGATGACCCCCCATACCCCCCACAGCTGAGGCCTCTCCACCATCTGCTGCCCCAGCTGGGCCCAGTCAGGGGGGCTGAGTGCCGCGCCCAGCTCAGCCCGGTGACTCAGCAAGTCATCCTCACGGCTGGACTCCTGCCTTGTTCTGAGGCCAAGCCCTCGCCAACTGCCCCTGCATCAGCACTGGGACCCCACCTCGCCTCCCTGACCGCCCGCCTGCTATACCCCAAACCTGGGCCTTCTGCCTACACCACCTGCCAGGTTCAGCTAGGACAGGTCTTGCCTTCTACCCTCACCATCCATGGAGGTGAGCCAGGAAAACCCTTTGACTCAGCAACACATTCCTGACAAGTCTCAGATTTAGGTTTTTGTAGTTTCCTTCCAGATGACATGCGCAGTTAGAGGATTTTACTTCCAAT